AACATTTCCGTTCGTTTGTTGGTTTAAGTCAGACATGTCCAAAGACTGCTTTTATTTCTGGTCTGGTGTAGTTTAAAGGTCGGTCCGATGACTTTGAGGACATTTAGTAACGAAGGCTAATATTGAAGCTAACCGCTAACACATTTCCTCCCCTTGTAGATTTACGCTACGTTTCAGAAAATTGCTTTTTTACTATTTAGAGACCGATGTGTGTTTGATCCCAGGATATTCTTTGAACAACTGGAGGATTTCTTTGATATATTTTCTCTATATTTCGTCCTCTTTGTGATTTTCTTTTTTTTTTATACCATGTGCTCTGAATGCGCTGGCTACATTCCAGCACTGTTTCTGCAAATCTGGATGGTTTCCAGGTCACAAAACATAAAACACTTCAGTTAATTTATGTTTCATATATATTTATCTGTTAGATAAAAAAAAGATAAAAATATATATTTATATCACTCCATATATCCTGTTTGATTCCATGATTTCCCTGACTACAGTCTCACATCATAGATTAAAATGTAATACAGCTCTGCCGAGCAGTACATCACTGAACTATCAGTGTGTGTGTGTGTGTGGGTGGGGGGTTGGGGCGGGGGCGGAGCGGGGGGGGGGCGCTTTTTATAGCAGCCTGCTGTCATTTACTCCATCTAGCCTGAAGACGAGTGGTGATTAAATGTCAAGATGTAGAATTCAGGATCTGATAAAACAGCCATTAGTACCTGACCTAGAATAAGACCGTCCTTGGACAGGACTAGTAAGTGGACTAGTAAGTGGATTAGTAAGTGGACTAGTCAATGGACTAGTCAGTGGACCAGTCCTGTGTAAGGACTAGTCAATTGTATTGTTAAACAGGTTGGTGATGTCTAATAACTAATGACAAGCTGGTATAAAAAATGTACAGCTAACACACATTTACTACTCAGTCCCACAGCCCCTGAATGCATCGTGGGTAATGTGACATTTGTGTGTTTGCTGTTGATTAAAAATTTTCCAGAAATAGCAAATTCTTCTGGAAAGATATCAGTTTAGCGACAATTATGGAGAGTTCTTGGCAGTGGCTAAAAGCTGTACTTTGGACATGTCTGCATTTATTTTGTTAAATGTTAAAATTAAAAATATATTATTTTGAAAATTTTGTAATGACTCTAAAATAAAAATAACAACAACAATAATAATAATAAACAAATCTTTAAGAAAAAAAACTTCCGCAGTAAAGCTAGCGCAGCAGCTAGCAGCAGCAGCTAGCATTTTCATTTTCCCACAGATGACATTGATCTCACTCACAGCAAATCACCTGACACTCAGATCACAAATCATTGTCATTAACATGTGACAGTATTGACACTGTTGTGTTTTCATGCTGTGACATGAACAGAAAACACTTGTCCAACGTCAAATATTGACAGTGAAGGCGACAGACGTCATGCACTTCTGTCTGGGCACTGAGAGTGTGAATGGTTAAATACTGAGCAACATACATATTTCAGAATGTGGTGCTGAAATGCATTATTAGATGGGTCTGTAACATGAGTTTTTTTTTTAGTTTGAAAAAGAAAAAAATTAAAATAATTGTGATGTTGATGATCTGCTGGACACAGAATCCCTTGGTTTGAGACCAGCAAACAGAGACGGATTTGTCCTTAAACTCCCTGTCACACACACACACACTGGTCTTCAAGCTGCCGTGATGAAGACGACCAGCGCTGTGGAGCAGAAGTGTTCACCACTTCACTTTTACATTCTCTAATGTTTTTCCGTCTCATTTCATTTTCAGCATCTTTGATGCTTCATTTTTTTTTTTTTTTTACAACATGCTTCCGTCTCTCCTGAGTGTTGTAAATGGATGTTAATGGATGTGCGTGGTGACCTCCTGGCATGAAAAAGGTGACATCAGTGTTCCCACCGCCGTGTCTTACAGAACTTCCTCTGGCCTTTCAGCTGTGACTGCTTTTAAAATGTGAAGTATTTTAGGAGATTTGAAATTTAAAAAAAAAGTTCTGATTGAAGTGATGTAGGAACAATGGGACCAAGTGATGACATCATCAGCAGACGTGACGGTCCGGTGATTTCAACGGTCTGGCTAACAATTAAACATTGTTGATGTCGGTCCTCGGTGTACGATGTCCTCAACTTCCGGCATTTCATTGTTTCGCCGCCGTCTCCCATAAATTTAAAATGAGAAAGTTTTGTTCCTTCATTCCTATGTACAGCGTTGGTGACATTAAAACACATTTTTTGCAGGAACTACTGAGAAGAGCGGATAAATATGTGATCACACGCTGCAATATAAGGAAGAGGACTTTGTTTACATTTGCCAGGACGGCAAAAATCAGCGACATAGGAACAGAATTCCGATGTAAGGTGAGAACGTTTTTTTTATACTTCTCCGAAAACTGAATACAGTTAGGTTTGAAAAGTTCTTTCTAGATGACTTAGGCCATTTTATCACAGATTGTATCTTGTAGCGGTATAGTGTATTAAACCCTATTGATGCTCAGCTTCAATGGGTTTCAATGTGGCATTTAGGAGACAGTGTCTCTACAGAGACATTTTTATGTACAGAAAGATAATTTTTAGTTTTACACGTCAACAAAAATCTCCTTTTTGAATCTGTTTTGTAAACAAAAAAAATCAGTTATTTCAAAGGTACGTTGTCTCAGACCCTCAGGTTCTTGGCTGAAGCCTTGTTAAGCTCCTAACACTAACTGCAGGACTGCGACAACGTTCCTCAGCTCACAGCTGATCCAGTGTCGGCCGTAACAGCAGCAGGCAGGTCATCTCATTTAATGATCGTGGAATTTAATTCAATTTTGCTGCTGCTGTAAAGTGTGTTCCTCTCTTTAGGCTGAAAGAGACTTTACAAAGGCAGAGGAAGTGTGAGGACATGAGGACACACTGAGGAGGCAGTCGCAGGAGGACGACAGAGGTGATGGAGAGGAAAGAAGAGGAAAGAAGAGGAGGAAGAGGAGGCGGAGGAGAAGAAGTAGAAGACGAAGAAGAAGAAGGAGGAGGTGGAGGAGTGGGATGAGCTCAGATCTTCAGTTGTACCCGGCTTTCTTACCTCTGATTGGTGTACCACCTGGTGAGGTAATTTGGATGCAAATGAGATTGGAGATAAACATTAGTTTAAAGGAAACAAGGAAACAGCAAAGGTAAAAAATAACCAGACAGGGAGGAGGAGCAGACGGGAGGAGGAGAACACCAGTGGTTTTCTGTAAGAAGCTCATTATTCCACACTGAACAGGTCACAGCGTTAGCTGCGGGTAAGAAACAGGCGTGATGATTACTTCAACGCAAAACTGTTTCCTCCTCCTGATTGGCTCTGATATACATTCATGACATTTTCTCCCCACAAGCTGTCGCAGTGATGTTCTCCAGCTGCTGTCATTTCTGCACTCACAGAACTGCCCATAACCGCTCCTCCTACCCCCCTCCCCCCACACCTGATTTTTAAATGACAACACATGGTTCTATTAGGCAGCCGAGCACTAATTCACCGGCAACCATTCGGCCGGCGTTCCCACCCAGAGGCCTGGTTTTCTCCACTTTTCTGCTTGTAAATGTAACATGGGAGACCGCGGACCCAGACTCCCAACACGTCCATCAATTCCACAGGCCTGACAAACAGAAACCGCCTCCTCTGGCTCTGATGCAATCGGAGGAAACATGCGCCCACTCCCTGAAACGGACTAGAACTCTGCTGCATCACTGCTGGAGAGCTATCGTCGTCCAAATTTAGCAAACAAGGAGCTGCAGCTTTATTAGGCGTTTTCTTTTATTTGGGTCGTTAGTCGTGCAGCAGTTCCTCTCTGTGATATTTGGGGAAAATAAAGTATGTCAAAGAAAAATGCACAAATGAGGTTTTAATCCTGTTTCCTCAAAGATAAATGTACAAATAAGGAGAGGGGGTCGGGGGTGTGGGTCATGACTGTTTCTGCTGGTTTAACCTCAGCTCTTCAACCCAACATTTAATGCCTTTTTTCTCATCCAAAGATTTTTCTTCTTCCTTCATTTTTCTTAAGTGTCAAACAAAACAGAAATTCCTTAAAAAACCCAAATACTACTAAATCATAAATATAACTCTGTCCAGGCGGTAAATTATTCATCACAGATTATACTACACACCCTGTGTTCTGCCTTGGATATCTTTATACATTATTTAAAGCAAAGGTTTTGAAATGTTTTCAGCCATTTTGGATTGTTTGGAAGAATAAAATAAATTCAAAATTTGCTTCAATCTGAAATAAGCTGACGTAACAGAATGGATAACAAAAAATAGTAAAAAAAAAATAGGACTTTAATCTACTTTCCTATTGGTTCAGACTGCTGCCAGTCAAACTACTGTGACGACGACTTCCCAAACAGCAGGTCTTCTGATTTGACTGTTACAAATTAAAAACATATTCCTAATATTTCCTAATTTGTGGTGGGAATTATGACATGAAGTGGAACAGCAGAACCGTTGGCTGCTTCAGTCTCATGAATCCCTGCTGCCACATCATCGTTTCACAGGAGCCACTGAGGCGGAGCAGGTCAGCTCCAGGGAGGAGGGGAGGAGGATCGGTACCATGCAGATGCCAGCGGTCTGCATAATAAACCATGTCACTCCTGAGTCAACAGGAAGACACAAGGAAGGGGAGGAAGAGGTGGTGGAGGAGGAGGAGGGACAGCGACTGCAGAGAGGAGAGGGAGGAGGTGCTGGAAGCCGTGCGTCCCCTGAGGTCTCATGAAGAAGACATCAGCAGTCGGGACGGAGATCTGCCATGAACCTCACTCCAGCGTGGAATCGTGGCGACATGGCAGATTTCAACGTGTGCTGAGAGAAATAATGGGATTTTGTTTTATTTTCCAGACTGAAAGAAGCGCCCCCTGCAGGAGAGTCCATCAGAACAGGAGGCAGAAGGAGAACAGCTTCATATCTCCCTTGGTGACTGATCTGGATCTGGGTCCAAACTGACCTGCACTTGTGTCCAGGTCTGGTCCAGTTTGAGGACCGGAGAGAACTCCGGGCACATGGAAATCTGACGGGTTATTGATTCTATAATTCACTGTTCTAGCTAATGATGTCTATGGTTCTGGAGGAGAACGAGACACAGAACGTTCCCACAGGGGTTGTGTTTTATAACCTGAAGAAATGACTTGTCAAAGACGTGGCCTTTTACC